AAATAACCTTTTCAATAGAGTCTATTTCAAATGTTTTTTCTATATTCTCCTGCTGCATAAATGCTTTTAGAAATAAGATTTTGCTCATGACTGTTTTAGTTAAATTGTAACAGGTACATTAGAATCAAAAGTACATTATTCAATTTGTGCTCCATCTTCTGGAAACAAACTACATTGGTGTCCTTTAGAAATGCATGGAATAAAGCCCAGACAGTATAAAACTTAATGAGTAGCAGTCCAAAAATGACTGCTGAAAGATAGAAAATACTAGTACTCAAACTCAGAGATTCAATAAACTCAGATGAATTTGCTGCAAGCCTTGCTCTGGGTCCAGCGCTCTATTTTATTCCTTTAGAATATCAGTTGCAAAGCTGTTCTGATTTTTAAAAAACATCAACTCTTAACTTTTCTCTTTGAAGACAAAATGATGAATTAAATTCAGCAAGACAGTTTGCAAATTCAACACATGGCATTTATGGTTTGGAAAAAGTCATGTACTCCTGAAGTAAGTTTTTGACTGAGAAATACAAAATTAATTTAAACTGTATCTGTCCAGTGGTTGAATTTATACTACCAAAATTAACTGTCCAACAGTAATCATCTCAAATACCGTTTCAGTTGCCGTTAAATGCCACCTTAAACCAGTGTTCTTAGACTTAGGTATGCACAGGTACAATATGGGAAACTTGTTTAAAGTGAGTTTCTACCCTGAGGCCTGTAGTGAAGACCGGAAAGGTCAGTGAGAGCCTGTTGGTTGGTTCTCATAATGGCATGCAGAACTAATGCACAGATCATAAAGTTATGTTAAAGACTAAACGTCTCCGATGTGTTAAGAGTAAAGTGACCGTATTTTAATTCCCTGCATTCAGATTTTAGACCACATTACAAAGTCATTCTGTAATTAAGGATTTCATACTTTTGTACAAATCTTCAGAGTATAGGCATATCGAGCTATTTTTAACCCAAGAGCCCGAGAATCTAAAAAAGGGTTTGCAAGGATTTTATCCTGACATTTTGGAAGTGGGGATGAGGGAAATCTAGTTCAATATGCTACAACGGGAAAAGTGAAGCAAAGAGAGGTCACATGTGTTACCCTTAGGTCAAAAGACTCTTTTAACTGAAGAGTTAGAGAGAGTACAGGCTTTCTCTTGATTCAGGATCCTTGCAAATCATCAAAGTACTTGATATTTTGGCACTAATTTCAAACATATTTATGGACACGTATATATAAAACACTATTGAGCTAAAATGCTTTGTAGTTGAAAAGTAAGACCTACTACGTTTAAAGAAAACAGTCACAGGTATCACTAAAGAGAAAGAAAACGGGGAAATTGTATTTTTTTTCACCTCCTACTATAAAATAGGTGGGTATTGCCCTATTTACCAATGAAAGGCACTGAGAACCAGTATATAGACTTCATAAGACAGTTTTCTGAAGCTTGAATCCATGGTTCATGCAGAATGGGTTCAATTTGTTTTGTTTAGTCACAAAATCACAATTATTAAATCTTTATTAGAATATGGAGTTATGCAATGTATTTTTTTTAAGTTGTGTATATTGGGGCACCTGAGTGGCTCAGTCAGTTGAGGGTCTGACTCTTGGTTTCTGTTCAGGTCATGATCTCATGGGTTGTGGGACTGAACCCCTGCCCCTTCTTCTGTCTCCATGCTCAGTAGGGAGCCTGCTTGAGTTTCTGCCTCCCTCTTCCTCTGCCCTTCCTCCCTCTCATACATCTTTAAAAAACAGAATAAAATCGTGTATACTACTCACTAAATTTCCATTCTTCTTAAAAATGGTATTTTGTGCTTGCTATTTTCAAAATACAATAGCCACATGACAGATATTGCAACCAGAAAGTACAAGAATACACAATTAAAAACATGTGCAATTTTATACTCTTAAATTTATATCAATTATTCATGTATATTAAAATGTAGCTTTGAATATATAAATCCCTTTCTTATTTAAGAAAGGTTTTTTAGCTTATTGAATTTTTCCCCTCTCTTGTTTACATGGAAGACTCTCCCCAACTTCTTATTCATGTTCTTCACTTTCCTCTGTTAGAAGTATTACCCATGAATAAAGTTATTTCTTTGATCAGCAGCTAGGACAGTGACATGTAAACAGCACACCAGCTCACTGCTCGCTGGTTTAAGTTACTGTAGCTCATTGTCATCCAAATTGTTTTTCCCTTCTACCTTAACTCAGAATGTCATCTGAGGTCTCTTTAACAGTGAGAGTTGTCATGTTTTTAAAATATTCTTACTGTTTTCTAATGGTGGTATTACAAATCTAGGCCTATATCTTTCTTTTTACAACAGATATATATATATATATATATATAAAACATTATATCTCAACTGCAATGCTATTTTTTTTCCTCAGGGAACTGGCTCTTCTGTGCTGTGTAACTATTTCTCACTTGAGATTATTTGTAAGTTAGTATTTTGAAGATTTAGAATACGCATATGAAAACACCCTTTCCTGGATTCTGAATTAAGTTGCAGAAGGTCGAATTAACCTAAAGAAAATAAATTTTTGTATTACAGTGGGATATTTGTCATCTAACCATCAAAACCTATCCAAAGAAAGAATAGTGTTAAATGAAAAAAAAATTTTTTTCTTTATAGTTTTCAGAACGCTTTTTAGTAATGTTGAGTTCATAATGGGTTTGAAATGGTGCCATTTCACAAAGTACTAGATAAAACAGCTCCAGTGAAAAGACCCAACCGATGAGAAGCTCCAGGTCCCTGTCTTCCCATCTTGACACCTTCATACCTAGACTGCCCGCAGATGTTCCCTTCCTCTTTGTTATTTAAAAGGAGAGGTAGCCCTTGGAACAGTGTTTTTCCTCAGGCCTGATATTGAAAATGAGAGAAAGGGATCCCTGGGTGGCGCAGCGGTTTGGCGCCTGCCTTTGGCCCAGGGCGCGATCCTGGAGACCCGGGATCGAATCCCACGTCGGGCTCCCAGTGCATGGAGCCTGCTTCTCCCTCTGCCTGTGTCTCTGCCTCTCTCTCTCTCTCTCTCTCTGTGTGTGACTATCATAAATAAATAAAAATTAAAAAAAAAAGATTAAAAAAAAAAAAGAAATGAGAGAAACCCATTCCTACGACCGGCTACCTTAGGAAACAGAATTTCAGGTTCCTTTCCTTCCAGCTTCTGTCGAGTTAAAAGGCCGGGGCAATAAGCCAATGAATACGGTGAGGCAGTAAATAAGAACTGACATAAACAAGAAACAACGGTCTACTTCCTTCTTGACATCGGTAAACCACGGAATGAGGATGGTATTCAACTATGAAAGATCACAGAATTCGAGCTGTACCTTAAACGCCGTGAAATTTTCAGGGCCTTTGATTTTCAAAATGATTGTGAAGATTTGTCCAGAGCACTTGTTTTTGATTAAGGCTCGGTTTTGACGAAGTGTAACCCAACAACATCACATGGAGGACGGTCACCCTAAGGTCTAGAACCGTACTCCTGGGAACTCTTCTAGTTCATGAAGGAGCCTAAGGACGTTCCAGAGATTGGTTCCCCTTTTTTCCAGGGCGGGTGAGGGTCAGGTCCCGGCCTCGGGGCCTTTCCCGCCCATCCTGGTCCCCCATTAGGGCTCTCCCTTGCCGTCACGCTGGCAGGTGGCTGCTCTGGGCACACTGCCCCCACCTACCCGCTGTTAAACCTGCTGGGTCTGCAAATTCGCGAACTCCTTAGGTCCCTAACCAGTGGCCCCGGAACCCTCAAGGTTCTCTGAAGGATCAACAGGAGCCCAGCTTTGCTCTATTCCTACCCGTTTACATCTGGCTGTCCGGTTTGGGTCTAGGCAAGACCGCGGAGAGCTTACTGCTGGGGGAAGAACCACAGCTTCACGCTCGCTAACCAAAAGGGCAACAGGCGCAGGAAGGTTCTGAAGTTGGCAGATCGGCCGGCCACGGTCGTCCTAAGCAGAGCACGCGGCAACCACGTGGGGGGCAGGGGCAAAGGCCCCCCGGGCCCTTGCCTGCAGCATCCTCGCCGGCACCATCCCTGCGGCGGGTGCGCGGTCTCAGGCCGGAGCCGCGAGGGCCGGTGCAGGGAAAGCGGCCGCGCAGGTGACGGAGCGGGGGCACGGCGGGGGCACGGCGGGGGCACGGCGGCCGCCGGGGGCCGGACCAGCCCTAATCCCGAGGCAAGGTCCAGGGCGCCCGCGGGCGCTGGCGGCGCACCACACCCGGCTCCTCGGGCTTCCCCCCGCGCCCCCACCTGCGGGGCAGCGTCCCCGAGCTCCCCCCCCCGCCCCGCCCTGCCCGGGGGTTTCGGACAGTCAACGGGAGCCCAGAGGCTAGGGAAATGTGACGGCGACCATAAATATGCAGAAGACATGGAGTCGCCACGGCCGACGCCGGAGGAGCCGGGGCTCGCGGGCGGCGGGGGTCTGGAGCCGGGCCCTCGCGGCCGGGGCGGCGCGGGCGGTGCCAGGACGGGCTGGGCGGCGCCGGCGCACTCCGGGCCCCCCGCCTGCAAAAAGGGCCCCGCGCGGGCGGCCGCGCACCTCGCAGACGGCGGGCAGCGGCCGCAGCGAGCGCCGCCCCGGGGCCCCTCCGCCGCCCCGCCGCCGCCGCCGCCACCGCCGCCGCCGAGCCTCCGACCCGAGCCCCGGAGGCGGCCGCTCTCCCCGGCCGCGCGGCCCGGCGACATGGAGCCCGGCGCGGGGTCCCGGACGGCCGAGCCCGCCGCGCCGCGGGAAGCCCCCGCGCGCCACGCCGAGGGCCGGAAGAAGATGGCGGCGGCCGTGGCAGCGGCGGCGGCGGCGGCGGCGGCGGCGGCGGCCTCCCACGCGCCGCTGACGCCAATAGCGCGCGCCGGCCGGCGAGCCGCGGATGGCGGCGGCGGCGGCGGCGGCGGCGGCGGCGGCCCGGGCTCCGGCGAGGGGCGGGGCGAGGCCGGGAGGGGGCCGGCCGGAGGCGGAGGCCGGGCGGGAGGCTGGAGGGAGGCGGCGGGGACAGTTTGTTGTGCTCGGAACATGGCGGGCGTCGGCGATGCGGCCGCCCCGGGAGAAGGCGGCGGTGGCGGCGCGGACGGCCGCGGCGAGGCGGAGCAGCCGGGAGGCGGCGGCGGCGGCGGCGGCGGCGGCCACGGGCCCTCGCCGGCGCCCCAGCTCACGGAGACGCTGGGCTTCTACGAGAGCGACCGGCGGCGGGAGCGGCGCCGCAGCCGCGCAGGTGAGGCGGGCGGGCGGGCGGGCGCGCGGGCGGAGGCGCTAGGCCGCGCCGCGGGCGGCGGGGGGCATCGCCGCGGGCGGCGGGGGGCATCGCCGCGGGCGGCGGGGGGCATCGCCGCGGCCGCAGCTGCCCCCGGGGCGGCCCGGGGCGGCCCGGGGCGCGGGCGCGCGGGGTCGGCGGCCGCTGACAGCCGGTCGGGCGGGGGCGGCGGCGGCGGCGGCGCGCGGCCCCGCCGGCTCCGGACGCGGCCCTGCAGGGAGACCCCGGGGCGCGCCCACGCTGGCGCCCGCCGCCCGCGGAGCCCCGAACCGAGACGCTGCCGGCTGCTCTGTTCCCGCCTCCCGCGCCAAGGTGACTTTGTCGTCGTGTGTCTTAAGCGAACTTGAGCCGTAGAGACCTGTTACCTCGCGCTCCAAATACGTGCTCCCCGCCGGCAGCGGGCGGCGCGGTGATGACCCTGAACTTCAGTACTTTTGCCCAGAACGGAAATAGCGTAAGCTCTCTTCAAAATGTTACTTACCTGTGAACTTTTCCTAAACCGAAACTTAAGCCTCTTTAAAAAAAAAAAAAAGAAAAGAAAGTTGGCCGTATAGGGGAAAGACGCCCTTGTAAGTCCTTTTTTCGACGACCGCTTTTAAGCATGTTGTTAGAATGTTATTTTGTAAGCAGTGGGATTCTGATTTTTTTGTTTGTTTTGTTTTGTTTGTTCTTTAGTTTAGGTTGCATTTGTATTTCATGTTATAGTTGCGTGTTAGGCTTAAAATGGGATTGTGAGATACATGTTTCGTTGAGTAGAGTGATCACGACATTTACGTTTTTTACATGACTCTAAGTTTTGAAACAGCCGCTGAGCCATTACATTTCTTCCAGAAAAAAAAAAAAAAAAGAATTTTGCTTCTGGTGGGCAGTCCGGGCTCCATTAGCCGTTATTGCCATCAGTTCCTGCAAATGAATGTTAAGTCCTAAAGCTGACTGCACCATTGATTGTACTTGGGTATTGGAAATATAGGATCCCAGAAGGTTGATCAGGTGAGATCCTTGTTTAATTTGCCAGTTTTCAGAACTAGGCGCAGGTTAGATTTTGAAGAGGTCTGGGTCTTTGAAATACTGAGTACAGACCGCCTTGTTCCGTCTTTTCCTATTAACCACGTAAAAAAAATTCTCAATTCTGTTTGGTTTAGTTGCCCGTTAAATACTTGCTTTCAAGAGTATTTACTTTCTCAACGGGCAGGAACTAAGTAAGAGTATTAAATCTCTCAGCTGTTTGTTTACGGACTTACACTTCGATCTTAAAGACTCTCTGATGCAAATGGAAACAAGAGTGGCCAGGTTTCACAACAATGTCTTTAACATATTTCTGAGTTTTCAGGAAAGCCAATATTACAGAAGCCATTTTTGTTGTTTGCATGCATAGAAAATGAAGTTGTCAGGAGTCTTTTGATGAGCACAGATGTTAGACTTTTGGAGTAACCCATAACACCCCTTCCCTGGCCCTTCCCAAGCCGGGTCTGAATACCTGGTACCAGGGGCTTCCTGAGACTTCACACTCGCATTCTTCATCAACATGAGTTTCCGAGCGTGGTATAGTTAACATTGTTGAAAATTGGACCTTTAACCCATAATCGCAGAAAGTCTTTATCTGGGAGACACTTCCAGCGCTAGTTGTTGGGATAGCCCTCACGGTTTCCCTAATTCCATCAGTTTTGTTTGAGGAGAGATGACAGTGGCAACTGTCCAAGATCAAGACTTAGGTCTAAGAATCCCAGGACTATTTCAGCTGGGGGTCATAAGCCAGTGTTATTCCATGGGGGCCTCTAATTCTTTCCCCCAAGTGTCTGTCTCTGCTCTGCTAGTCACACAGCTCTTGCCCCTGCTAGCATCGACTCTGATGCCGCATTGGTTGCAGGCACACCCAGGAGATTAGAATTCTTTCAGCCGTTCTTAAACACCTAGGCTAAGCGGCTTGGCTTCACCTTGCTGTTTTGGCATCGCCCCTTTCTACTGCTCTGTAACCTTTCCCTCCTCTCTAGTGCAGACTTGAGAAAACTGTTCCCTAGGGGCTGGCCTGGCCAGAGGGCCTTTGAGTGCACCACCTAGTGTCATGTGGGAAGCATTTCTCCCTGAATCAAATGTCTTCCAAGCCTCTGTCCTTATACCTAAGGTGTTACTTGTCCATTAAATTTTTTTTTTTTTTAGTATAGTGACACACAATGTTGCATTAGTTTCAGGTGTACAGCAGAGTGATGCAACATCCCTATAGGTTTTTCTGTGCTCACAAGTATAGCTACCATCCTCACCACACATACTTGTCTACTCTTTTTATTCTCGCACTGCCTCTGATACTCTAGTCCTCCTCTCCAGTTTAGGGCAACCTTTGTTTTTCCCTTTGAAAGTCATAATCTTAGTGTCCCAGTGGCCTCACCATCAGCTCCAAAATTCTCTTTGTTAAATCTCTCAAGGAATTTAAGAGTCTTAAATGTTTGTTGGCCTTTCCCAATAACGTAGGATTTCGTGAATGAACATACAGACTAGATGCTTATCAACACCCTCCCTATCTAAGTAAAATTCAAGACATAGTACTTGAGGTTAAATCTTTGCTTTATATCTATCTTTGTCCATTTTTATGTTTAGAAAATATACTTGATATCTATTTGTGTATGGGCAGTTACATATACATGTTGCATTACATTGTTACATATACACATGTCTGCATCAGGCATAAGCTTTCATTTTGTTTCTCATTTCAAACTCTGAATCATTGATTCTCTGAACTCTGTCTTTGACTTACAGGTAGCCTGGCAGTGGATTGAAACTTCTCTGATGCTAGCTAGGGCTTATCACTTAATATAGTGGGAAATGGGTATTCCACTCACCATACCTATTCTCTTTCTCTCTCAGAACATTTGTTCCACCATTGCCCTTATGTGGTCACTGTTCTTGGACTCGGTATAGTGCAAAGCTACAGATTCATCTCTTTTTTCTTTTGTCCCTACTCTTAAAAGTACTGCCAACTTCTATTATCCTTTTTTGACATAAGCTCAGATAATAAGTACCTATTACCATAGTTTTGTATTATTCCCCAACTTACTCATCTGTAAAAGTCCTAAGGGGGAGAATTTCTGTATTACCATGTTCCCATTTAGGAATCTAGGCCCAGCAAGTCAACTTTGGACTAAGAATTAGGCAATCTATTCTTGGCTTGGTTTGGTTGTCAAGTGGCTTTTAGACTGTGTGCTTGCTTAGACTGCTTGCCTAATTCTTTTGGCTCTGTTTCATGGCTCCACTACTAAATAGTTCAGTATCTGAAGTACCTGAGTTGGCTCTAGTGCCCATGGAGACTTAACAGTGGAAGAATTGGTGTAAATTAAGCCTCATACCTACTGGTGAGGATGAAACAATACCTATATGATGCAGGTGTAAGAATATGCGTAGGGTGAGGTGTTGCTTGTAAAACAGAAGAGCTTAAAGTAAGGTTAGGGTGGATAGTATCATGTCTCACTTCAATAATGCTGTGGGGCCCATGTTTTTCCTTTTGTTTCAATGGTGACTTCTCCACATCTAGAGCTTAATGCTTGTTTTCCGTCTCTTTTGCTGCTTTTCTCTTTCTTTACCCAGTTTAGTCCTCTTGCTTTACCTCCATGAGGGAATGAGCAGAGGCGGGAAGAAAGCCTAAACCCCAAAAAGCCCAAGTGAGCTCCTTTTCACAGTTCTCACAAAAGACTTCACGTGGGACAAAGGTTTTAACTGGTCAAATTCTCTATGCCCTATTATTTGTAAATTGAAAATTTAAATTCTTATTACAGTTAATTTATTTTAACTAAAATACCGTTTCATTTATCGATCCTTCTCCTCCATAGAATGTGTTACATGGTTATTCCCATGACCCCAAACTTATTCTAAGGATGGATATTAAAGGTTGTTATTCTGAAATTGTATTCTAGTCCATTTCTCACTTACAAAGGGAAGTAATGATAACTGTAAAACTGGGAAGTTACGTGGAGTAACCACAACCCTGAGATAGGTTAAGTAAAATTAGCTTCTCTCTGACACACTGTTGCTCTGCTTTTTTAAAACTCTCACTTTATTGAACTAGTACGTGTAAATTGAGCAATGAAAAGTTACTCATTTTGGTCAGTTCAGTATCCTGGCTTTTTAAAATGTGTAACTCCATCCTAGTTTACCCTTCACAATTCAGCCCTGGCTGCTCATTTGTGGCCCAGTTTGAGGAATGCTTGCATGAATCAGGTCTTTGGAAAGACTGAGCATTGACTGTCAAATTAGTGACATTCTGATCCCATTTTTAGTCCTTAGCCCTGTGACCTTGTGACCTTTGAAAAAGTCGCTGCTGTTTGTGTCCCTTTTTCCATATAAATGTATAAGTTTATGAATATCCTATCTATTCTTCCCTAAATGAGACTATTTGTGAGCAGTTTCAGGATCTTAAAAACTTGAAGGGTACCTTTACTTTTATTTAACTTAGGAAGACAGAATCACTGATGTATTGATTTTGAATTCGCCTTGTACAAGGGCATACCTCTGTGTTTGTGTAACAGACTTACGTGTAACATTTTCATATAACCTTAGTAAAGTTTATTACTATTTTACATTATTTAACACTATGGAGATTTGCATGTTTTATAATATTTTCTTTAAAAAAATTTTTTTTAAAGATTTTATTTATTTATTCATGAGCAACACACAGAGAGAGACAGAGAGAGAAGCAGAGACACAGGCAGAGGGAGAAGCAGGCTCCATGCAGGGAGCCCAATGTGGGACTCGATCCCAGGTCTCCAGGATCACACCCCAGGCTACAGGCGGCGCCATACTGCTGCGCCACCAGGGCTGCCCTATAAGATTTTCTTAACAACCAGTATTACTCCCCAGTTTTTTGATGGTCAATGCTATTTTAAGGAAAATATATTTAGACATATTACTTACCATTTAAATATATTTATGATTACGCATTAACGCTTAATTAATACTTCTGTTTCCTGGGTTCT